CAGTAATCACAGAACGTTTTACAGGATGTTTTTACAACTAAGGATCATAATCCCCATGATCTACAGGTTTCTCTGAGGAAACTGTTATCCTTGCCAAACTGTTTTTATTAAACCATAGCCATTCATTTCAAAACGAAACAAAAAACTCAACAAATCACAAATGAGGTTAAAATATCCTGTAAAAACTTAATCTTCAGTTACCCTCTTCTCTTCCTCTAGAGGAGCACTAAGAAATACCAGATTCTGTAACAGGAGTATCTCTTTAGGCTGACCTTTGTGCTGACTTGACAGTGCAAGGGCTCAGGACTAGTCTAGTTTGCTTTAATTAATCCCTGTGTTTTTGGGCACAGTGACTGCTGGCTCTCCTGCTCCAGCTTGACCTCTGAGAATGGCCCCTATGGTGGTGGTGATCCAATCTCCACCTCCATCACTGCCTGACAAACCACAGCCCTTTGTGGGGGGCAGCTGGGGACCACTGCCAGGCTACTGCTGGCAGCATGGGAGAATGAAGGAGATAGATAGTGATAGGAAAACATGTAAAAGTAGGTTGAGATGGACCCTTGGCTGACAGGGGAGAAACTTCCAGCACGAATGTCTGATGAAGACCTCAGGATTCTGATAACTTGCTGCAAGTCTCACCCCCTCTTCTTGAGGGAGACTGATGTATTGCTCTTTGGACAAGAGGAGGGTGGAAAGCTGAGCATAATATCAAAGTAAGAAATACATAGTAGGAAAGTGTTTTTATATAGTATTTTTAAAGGTATTATTAATAAGGCTTTGGGTGTTAATTTGGGCTGTGCTAGTATTAGATAAATTGAACTATTAGGATGTTAAAACACTAATTGTACAAACAATGGAGTCTTCTCTCCATACATATATAGTGAAGTCCTTTTACAACTATGGCTTTCTTCAAAGTACTCTGTCTGTAATTCACTGATTAAGCAAATAGACCGTTTTAAACTAAAGCACCTGGATGACGGAAGCTCTAGCAAAGTAGCTCCAAGCAAAACCACCTCATTCTTATACTATCTCATGTCCTGCAAGTGAGGAGGAGAACTCATTATGGCCTGTAAAGAGGCTAATTGGGCCATTGGAGAAGGCAGGAAATTTAGGTCTCCCTTGCAGGAATATGTGAAAAAAACTAATAATCTCAAGCACTCTACAGAGGGCTGGTTTTAACCACTTCTCTTACCTCCCATATTCCTACCTAAGAAGTAAAAAGTCCTCCCAGATTCAACAAAACATACTCAAATGGAACACCACCAAACACTGTCTAGGGTAAGCACTACCAATTAAGATATTGGTATTTCCTGTAGGTTGCGAATGAGTCACATTAATTTTCTGTGAATCTTCAGAACAGGATCACAGCATCCATAAGAATTTCCAAAACATCCTTTCTGTTAGGCAATACATAAAACGCACCTCCAGGTACCTCCTCTGGTGAACTCTGGGGCCTGAGAAGCCTCCTTCCCAACTCCTGGAGCCCAGCCCAGTGCACCCAGAGACCTGAGAGTCCCTCTGTCCTAAGCTAATGAACACAGCTATTGCTTTCCTGTTTGAAGGCTCAGCCAGCAGCAAAGATGAATATGTATACCACACACATGTCCTCCACAAATGCAGAGGACAGTAACACAGCCAGCTACATAGACTGCCCACAGAGAGGGCACTACCTTTAACATCACCCACATCTAACACTACCATAATTCACATAAAACATATGCACAAACAGCCAAAACCCAGTCCTCCTCTCTAACTGATCAGGAATGAGGTTTGCTAGTGAAAACACACAGTCCCTTATTCTCTTGTTCAAAAGGACAGACTCATTCCTGGGTGCCTTGAACATTAGCATGGGTCATTTAATATTAATGCCTAGACCTTGGGCCTCCTCTCACCAGGTAGTCCAGCTTGTCTGCTAATGAATTACACATGCACAGACATGCACGTTCACACATATACAAACATGCATGTGCTGGCATACACACAATGTGAGGGGGAAATATAAACATTCCAGTCTCCCTGGACCAGCTCATGCCCAAGCACACAGGCCCTATCTCACTTAGTCCCCTCTGCACTTGCCAGTTCTGGGCCTCTCATGTTCTCCAGTTGGCATGAAGCACAGGAATCACTATAACCCAAGGCCCAATGCACTAGCACTAAACTCACTCACTGCCAATACATAATCCTATGAGCTGTGGTCTCCCTGCAGCTGCTAATGCTGAGATCCTTGTTTACTCCAGCTGCCAGCACCACAGACATTAGGACCATTATTGCCAGTGGTCTAACTCCATTTGTAGACCCCTAGTTCAGTCACTTTCATGTCTCCAGATTCTGGCATCTAGACCTTACAGCACTTGCAGATGGGGAGAGAGTGAGATTACATTAGAAGAGAGTTCAGAAAGGATTAAATAAGACTGGACAGACTAGAGTGATTCAGTTCAGGCTCAGTCAGACAAGTATGCTGACCAGCTACTGCTCACACCCTACCAATTTTACTCCTCCTTGCTCTCTACACTCACCCTATCCTCATTTTGTCTAGATCCCCTTCCTTTAAAAATTCCTTAGTAAGTCTAAGGGTGCAAATTCTGGTATTAATTGGAGTATTCAAACATAAGAATAATGCCATGCCCACTGTTAGCTGTTCGTTATTAAGTTATGCTACAAGTGTTCTTTCAGGGAAGAGTTTTGAGAGCTCAGTGAATGAACAATTAATAAAAAATAAAAATACATAACTGACATGAACATATGCATTGCTAGTCCAATAGATACATTCTGTCATTGTGAACAAACTTGGACAAATCAACGTTTACTTGTTTTTTAGAAATACTTGTAAATCCTAATAATTATAAATAAAAATATTATCATTTTATTTACATGCCATCAATTTATAGTAATATGTTACACTTTCCCTCAGATCATGCAAACTTGTTATTGCCAGTGTCTTATCTTATTTTGGAAAAAAGGTATGTCAAAGTTTATCAAATCTGAAACACCATTTGCACAGTCTTGGTATTAATATTTGCATCTTCTGTGCAGAAGTTCAATATCAAAAGAGAGGAATGTTTTGAATTTGCTGCCATCTTCACACACTTTGAATAGCATTCAAGACACGTGATTCATAATTGCACAATTCATCTTGTCTGAGAACACAATACAGCCAAGATGGTATAACAGTAGAAAAATGTCTCTTTTCATAGAAAAATCAGTTTCACAGGGGTTGGATTTTCTTCAGATAACTATTCTTGAAATTGCCTTTGTGCTAGCAAATATTTTTACACAGGATCACAAGAAGAAATATAGACTTAAACCAACCATATCTGGTCAGAATCTAATTGCAAAATTATAATGTCTGCTGGTCAATCAGTCCTGTTTCGAGGTATGCAGATAGGCTACATAATTTCCTTTTACAGCAAGGACCTGATGTAGTTTGTATCAAAGCAGGAAAAAAAGAGGTAAATTCCTGAAAGTCTGCCTCTCCTCCTGTGATACTTACATTATGCTTAGAAACAAGAAAGCATTGCCAATTTTCTTTTAGCTAACTGAAGAACAAAAAGGGAGCTAATTCACACTCATAGTCTCCTTTTCTCTGTCGCCATCCTTACCAGCTACCTGGAGAGTGGATTGCAATGATTGCTGCTATCCACTGGAGTTGAGTGTATTGAACTGTTTTAATGTCATTATATGTTTGGGCTTATAGTTTTTGGAAGGGTTTCCTCCTGTCTTTTACCCTCCTCTCCCTCATTAGATCAAAACTGCAAGGATACAGAAGACTTTTTGTGAGGAAAACTTCGAATGCAATGTGCCCACATAATTTGGGTGAAAAGGACAAGAGTTGTGTTTTTAAAACATACAGGTCATATGGGGGGAAAAGCTCATTCTAGAAAACTTTACTAATGGACTTGCCTTGTTTGAGGACAAAAAAGAAAAATTATTTTCCTTTTTCCAGTTTTCTCTGAATGATGGTGACCATGATGCCCTCTACAGCGATGGAAAGTGAGGAAAAGGAAATGAATACAAAACAAATTTACTGGGAGTATAGGATTAAGCATATCTATCCTATTTATAAATTATAATTCTACATAGACTTAACTAAAATGTCAATAAGATTGTTCAGCCTTTCACTATGAAAATAAAGATGTGCTCTCATTGGTTCTTGGATCCCTCTAACTCCCTTAAGCTCTTTTTGTTTGTTTGTTTGTTTCCTTCTTTGTTTTGTTTTTATTTTTAACTCTACATCTCAATGTAGTATTTTGTTTATATTCTGTGGTTGTCAGGGATTACTGATGCTTCCAAGAAAATACATGTTGCTCATTCTTAAAGAATGTTATGTGCATTGCTACTTCTGTTATACCAACATAGTGAATCTCTGCTGTGAAGCACAAGAATGGTATTTTGACTGTTATCGTGACCTCCAAGAAAAAGTGCTTACAATAGGATGGATTCAGATATGCTTTCTGATTCGAGCTTCTCTCATGACAACAACTTACTTGTCCAATATATCATAAGTAAACCGATTAGCTTCTGAAAGTTGGAGTTTTTTTAATCAAGACACAGCACTAAATCATGAGGCTCCTGACTCATGGAATTATTTCCATTTTATTTTTCTAGCACATGTGTAAAGAGGATGCTGAAATTATGAATAAAGGTGTCATGATCATTTTAAATCATCCAGCAAGAGTTTCTGATCCTATTCTTGCAAACTCTGTACTTGAGAACCAGTGAGTTAGTGTTTATGAGTCTTCCTTTGTCATACTGCCAAAAGGAGAAGGTACTCATGGATGGTATTCAATTATGAAAAGCTACCATCATTCATGTTTTACTTTAGTACATAAGTATTTTACAATAGTCACATGGAAGTTTGATTTCTTTATTTTAGAAAACCTACATAAAAAAAAGGAGGAAAATATTTATCTAAAATAGCTCTTTTAATAAAGCAAAAATCACACTATTATTACAACACAGGAAACCACTATTATAAGACAGGAAACAACAGTGTTTCTTACCTGTAAAGCCCTTGTCACATTCACAAATAAATGTGTTTGGAGTAACATTGCTGCAGTTACCATTGAAACATGTAGGTGGCTGGCACTGTCCAACTATTTCTGTACAGTTTTTACCTATTTAAAAAGAATAATTTTATTTTTTTTCTGAAATGTCAAATTTATATGTAAAATATTACTTTAATAAGTGGATGGATAGATAGGAATTTGTGCTAATGTTGGTTGCTATTTTTCCCCAAAATCACTGAAGTTCTAAAGCAAGGCAGAAAGATATACAGCTGCTGCAATATGAGCTACTGTGCTCAGCCTCATCTGCCATATAGTTACAAATCAACATACAGCTTAAAATGCAGAAGTGCTATTAGCACTGTAGTACTTTTCATTTTTACATGAATCTAGCTTACAGATTCTTCCAGCATTTTAAGCAAAAGATGTTTTCATATGGACTCCCATTTGACTAAATTTTTCTTAATATGCAGCTTTCTGGAAACTACAGTTTCAATTACATATTGTTTATGCTATTACAACATATGGATCTAAATAACATACAATTATGCTTGCCACTTGGATTGTTGCTATGACATTATTCACACTTCAAGTTTTCAAAATTCTAACAGACTTTATATTATGGGAAGCACATTTTTCCTCCCTTATTCTTGTGTAGCCACATCCATAATATAATGTGGTTTAATCTGCTAGTTTTTCTTGTTCACATACAGCTTATTTACTGTACCAGTACTGCCAGTAGAAAATAATGGCATTAGCTAACACTATCTCATATAGCCTAACAGAATATTTTAAGCATTGCTTGTTGATAACATTAAGCATGATGATTGCTTTTAACAGAATTGTGAATCTCTCAATTAATTTGAATTAAAGTAGTACTAAATACTTTTTGATGTTATCAATTTCAAAGCATTTTACGCAGCCCTCAGAAAATAGGAAATCTACTGCATACTAATATCTTCCACTATTTTACTAAACTTCAAATAATTATAGAAATATTATTCTCATAATATTGACTTATTCATACCTGCATAACCTTCTTTTTGCAAATGCATTAGTAATCTAATTATTATGCAGTTTGTAAAGCAATTAAAAATAAATTACAGCAAACTTTATGCAACATAATCTCACTCATTCCTGACTCGTCAGCTGTGTTTCACAGCATAGCATCACTATTGCGAGAGCACAGAAGTGCAGCCCACCAAAGGAACATTTCTAGAATTCTGCTCTACAAGCACACAAAGAGCCACAACAACCCTTTTCATGGTATGAATGGATATTTCTTTTACTTTCTAAAGGATTTCCAAAGTCCATTGTTCTGAATGCAGCAGGAACAATAAACCCATAATTTTCTTAATTCCCCTTTAAGAACATATCTATATTCTCTGGTAGTCCAATCCCAAACTCAGATTCAGTTTCTCCAGTGGGTTTTGGGTAAGTACTGCAGAATTTCCTGGATAGAATCAGGTGAGCTTTTTTAATTTGGTGATAACAGCATGTTTAGCAAACTAGATTTCAAAGAACTTTTCAGTGAAAAACAATCTGGAAGATAGAGTATTTTTTGTTTCCTTTTTCTCCTAATTAAATCTTTGTCTTTGAAATTAAAAACAAATTTTGTTTTCAGACACTTCTCTAACATAATTTAAAAGTTCTTTAAACTGAAAAAGGAAGTTGGGTGGCAGGTTGAATGAAACTCTCATTTCAACAAAAATGTTTTCCATTTTTCAGCAGTCTGGTTAACTATTTTTTGGGGATTTTACTCCAAACACTTCATGTTTTTTGGTTCAGGAACTTGAACTGCTGAATAAACCAACAAAAAATATCTATTACTTCCATAAATTCAGAAGTACTTACCAATGTAAGTGGAAAAGAAGCATAATAAGAACTTATTCTGGTTTTCCCCACAATGCAGACATGAATGTAAACAACCACAAACGGTCTTCAAATAACTGCACAGTCTCATCAGTACAGGTGTAGTATTGGCAATGGACAACCAAATTATACAAAAACTTTGCCAATGATGTTTAAAATGTTTTATCATCAATTAAGGAAAATGTATTATCTATGTAACATTTATTCCTAGAGGGGAAAAGAAATACCTGAAAATTTTGGAGGACACAGGCATTCATAAGAATCTCCAGAACGTTCTGTTTTCTCAGTGCAGGATGCATTGTTGTGGCAAGGTTTAGTGGAGCATACATCAAAATTCTGGCAGAATCTTCCTGAATACTGTGAGAAACAATGGCAATTATATGATTTTTCCCAAATGTGGCTTAGACATTTTCCATGCCCAGAGCATAACGGTGCACTTGGAGACTGTTGACAAAACTGCTGTTTCACAGTTACATTCAGACGGAGGCCCACGTTGCACAGTAGCGGGCCTCTCTTATGAAGTTCTGCAAAGTAATGGGTTCCAACATCAAGCCAGTTAGGGTCAACTTGGTGCATTCCTTTTATCTGACATACAAAAATCAACTGTTCTTGAAGGAAACCAGCTTTAGGGCAGTTAATAAATTCTTCCTTGGAGACATTTACTAAATTCATTCCAAAGGACTTAAAAGATGGCTCGGAGGAAATGAAGAGACTATCACCTAACTGAAGCTGTAAAGGGCATATCTGAGGGATATTGAGGTTTTGTTCTTCTGAGATTTCCCCAGAAATACTTTTATTCATATTCCAGCATTCGGTATAAAAGTCTGAGCAGACATTTTCTCTTGGTGTCCATTTTATTATACTAGGTTTTGGTTCCACTCGCCATTCTGCGATCGTTTGCCTCTCACATATTACCTGCCCCTTTACAACACATAGCTGAATAAAGCACACAAATACGCGAACTGTTGATTTTGTATTCATTGTTTCACTTGGCAAATGGGAGATGTCTTTCACACCTGCTTCATTACTGAAGATAGCTTCAGAACACTTGTACCTTAAGGTTCATCTGTATTTTCCACAGCAGCCTAGGAATTCAGAGAAAATTGTGTTTTCACATCAAATACAGTTGAATATCAAAGCCTTATTACAAAAATAGAAAATACACAACAAAGCAACATCTATGTCTAATTACACTGATGTGGAACTGGAGTAAGTCCAATTAACTGATCAGAACTATACTACTGAAGCCATATTTTTCCAATTTCTATTCTTGCTAAAGATTTGATTTTCATTTAGTACATTTCATTGTGCTTGCATATGGAAGAGAGCTTAAAATAAAACTTTCTATATTCCATCCCTCTGTTGACAAAAACTAATGATAACCAAGTTTAACATCTGTGGCAAAATTAATAATTAAAGCAGAACATCTAAGCTCTAGTCATGAGCTTTAATTGTAGCTGTTACATTGATGATTTATCATTAATTTTGATAAAGGTAGATATTCAAAGATGTAGGCCTGTGAATCATGGTTTCAAAGACGAAAACATACAAGCATATCCCCAACTTTTTGATGTTCACGTGCGCTCAGCAAAACAATCAATTAAATCCTTAATTTTCCAAGTACTTGTCCAAAAGACAAACCTTAATCATATACTTGAGGTTCTTGATGCATCACAGTCAAAGCTAGCAGACTACAGAGTCCTCTAAGACTGTTCAATTTATAGAAAAGCCATTCTTGGCCCCTCAATATATCTGGAAATTTTTATTGCATGGAGATCAGTGATTACAGTACAGAAAGAAAACCAAAGGAAAATTATGAAGTTTGTTCTTCAAGTCATACTGAAAACAATGAAAACACAATATGTCAAAGTCTTTAGAAAATGTCATTAATAGTTTAATTTGCCTTGATGTTTTTTCTCCCTTTTAATTCCATAATGCCTTTTTTTGTCAGTATATTTATGTTGCACTTTAAGATAGTGGCCTCTAAACTGACATTTACAAATGAGAAAATTATTGTAAAGAATAAACTGTATCTTTCAAGGGAAGCCATTCAGTATCAATGCACAATGGCATTTATATTTTGAAATTGGTTTACAATGTTTTCATTTTTACACAGCATATGGAATGACATCTGGATGTGTGTATTTCTACACCTACATACAGCTGTTCCATCTCTGAAGTGCACACAGATTATGATACCACTCTAATTACATCATTTCATTAAATGTCCTATTCAAAAAAATCTTGGAGCACACTACAGACTATGCTGGAAGATCAAAGAAAGACAGGAAAGATACTGTTTGTGAAAACTTTGAGCTGGAGAACATTATATGACTCAGCTGTAAAACTTTAAAGATAATATCAAAGGGTAGCACTCAGTCGCTCCTGTTGTCACCTAAATTGGGATGAAAACATCTAAAAATTAGGCATGTCTTACTAGTAAATTGCTGTGCATGTGAATCTGTCCAAATGACCTTTGTGCACCACAAGGACCAGCACTGTAAGCCTTTGAAGATACCAGAAAGGTGTGAACTATGACTAATAGTAATAATAGCAGACTTGAGGGTTAGAATATTAAACTCAGATGTGGTAGAAACTAGATTTTGATCCCCTTTCCAGAATAGTTTTTGTTTTAATTTAATAACTGAATCCCAGTTCTGCCTCCAAATAGTTGAAGTACTCTAACCACCTAGCTCCACAGCCAGGCAAGCATGCCAATTTCTAATTCCTTTCTCTGTCTCTGTATTTCCACCCCTGGAAGCTAATTCCCCAAAGAAAAAAAGAAAGCACATGGATCTGCAAGAAAACTACTAACTTTGTTACGGAATACTCATAGGTTTTCTATTTTAGACCATTCCATTATCTTCAGAATCTCATGATGCTCAATGATACCGTTAGATACTCTGTTATCAAATGTGTAGTTTGTATCATTTAGCATTTTTTCTTTTAAGGTAGCAGTGTTGAACTGTTATACCTATTATAGCTGCTATTACATTTGTCACTATTAACAGGTGTAAAAGTCTGTGCTCTCTATTACTGGACATTTAAAATCCTACAATCAGCAAGCTATCTTTAGATACCTTTTGCATAATGAGATTTCCTCAGGTGTTACTAAACTAGATGTTTATAAAAAGTTATTTTTCTTCTTAGGACACTTCAAGAAGGCTATTGCATGTCCAATGCAGAAGAATTCTTGCCCACTTACAATACATTTTGTCCTTCATTCATGTAAGTATGCACAGGTCTGGTATCATATACAGGCTTCATTTTTACTGGTAAAGAATACTGGCTTCCTTACAATGTTTGTACGGGATAAATTTTAAAATACATAATTAGGATCATTGCAACAGCTGATACTTTGTCTTCAGAGTTACTGTTTTTCATACAACTGGAAGATTATTATGGGAGTACTAGAATTAATTATGTAATTAAAAATACACCCTGTAAAAGCAGTTGCAAAACCAGGGAAAGATGGGAAAGAAATATCAAGAGAACAAAGATTGGGTTTTAACAATAAAATCAAGAAGGGAAAAAAAAAATGTTATACAGTGGTGAGTACAAAAAGTAAAGATCCATGCGTGGAATAGAGTTACAGTATTAACATACCTGACTAAGAAAATCAGAAAAGATATTAAATACCTGCAAAATTAGGACCTGAGGCCATGTCATGTGACAAAAATATGTCACAAAATGAAATTTGAAGGCAATTATGATAACTGTTCCATTTTAGGTCTGCTTTAGGTAAGAAGTAAATCTTCCTATGTATAACCCCAGATGCTTCCATGTAATTGATGAAGACTAAGTCCAAGACTGGGACTTATATAGACACACAAAGATACTTGAAGAAAATCTAATTCGTAAAGTTGCATAAAGCTGAGGGAAAAGCAGCACAAAGCTCTATTTTGAACTAAAGGAGAACTAAAGCATCAAGGTTTATACAGCACCCAGAGAGGTCATTTAAAAGCAAAAATGAATCGCAAGTTATTTGCATTCTAGTCCATTATTTTCAGTATTATGTTTTCTTTCTATTAATAAGTTATTAAATGCTAATTAAAAAAAAGTACATTTTAGGGAAGATTGGAGAAATGCTTACAGAAGGTAAACAAAAAAAAAAGTTTAGGAAAAATCATGCCACCATGTGGGGGACAGGAATCAACCTTCTCTTGCCACCACTGCAGATGTCGCACACACACTTTGTAGTCTGCTTCTGTGTGTTTAAGTTCAGCTTTGGCAGGATTGGACTGCAAACCTTGATAAAACTGCTGTGAAAAGAACTGAGAGGGAGCTGGGGAGGGCAGGGTTTGCTGGCAGCTTGCTTGCTCAGGACCGACATTTAGGCTCAGGCTCACCCTCCATCCTCACCTGGGCTATGATGCAAGTGGACTGATACCTGGCCTTATATTTATACCTTGCTTACCTAGGCGTTGGCCCTTATCCAAATATTTGACTTACTGGTTTGATCTCAGGACCTTCCTCCTCACTGTGGGCCAGCCTGGGCACCACTGGGCTATTGACTGGCTCTGAGTGGCACCCCCAACCTGCACTCAGCTTCTCACATGGTGCTGTGCAGCTGTCTTGCAGGACAGACAATGTCTGCTGCTCCCTAGGACTGTGATATCATGCTTGCTTTATTTCTGATGCACATTTAAAAGCATCAGATTTAAGCATTACTTATGTACACATAATACAGGAAATGCCACAAATTATAGCGCCTGCATAATCTGACTTCCACACTCTCTATATGTTTTACAATATCCACTAACTGTCTCAATGACATACCAATTTATTCTTTGTACCTTATATTTTTCATCACAAAATTAATAATTCTCAGGAAATGATGCATTATTTATGTCAATCTTCATTCTTTGCAAATTAACCTTTCCTTATTTACTAAAGGCCATTCAGAACATAAACTGCTGAATTATTAATTTCTTAATATGACTTTCCAGAATAATGAATATGCTAGACAGTGAATTTACCTGCAACTTAAAATACAGAATCTTGATTTCTACCTTATAGTTATACTACGCCTATTTTATCAGGGCTTTCTGCTGGCTAGTCTTTTATTTACCAATCCATACATCACTATAGGCATAACAATATTGAGTCAGGGGATTTTATTTTATCTTATTGCTAGCTGTTATAGTTTTAACCCCAGCTGACAATTGAGCCCTGCACAGACGCTTGCTCACTACCCCCTCCATGGGATAGGCAGGGGAATCACAAGGGTAAAAGTGAGAAAATACATGGGTTGAGATAAAGACAATTGAATGGGTAAAACAAAAGTCATGCACACAAGCAAACCAAAACACATAATTAATTCACTGCTTCCCATTGGCAGGCAGGTGCTCAGCCATCTCCAGGAAAGAAGGGCTCCATCACATGTAACAGTTACTTGAGGAAGACAAACACTGTAACCCTGAATGTCCCCTCTTACTTCTTGCTTCTCCCGATGTTTATTGCTCAGCATGATGCCATACAGAATAGAATGTCCTTTGGGTCAGCTGTCCTGGCTGTGTCCCCTCCAAACTCCTTGTGCACCACCAGCCTATTCACTGGTGAGGTGAGGTGAGAGGCAGAAAAAGCCTTGAATCTGTGTAAGCACTGCTTAGCAACAATGAATACATCCCTATGTGATCTACACTGTTTCCAGCACAAATCCAAAAAAATGCCATATATAAGCTACTATGAAAAAAATAAACTCTATCCAAGTAGAAAACCAGCGCACTAACCAATATAAAATTCTTTTCAGTGATTCTGATATATAATCACACAAATAATTAAACACGCATGCAAACACCTATTACCTCCACACCAAAATGTCTGGAGTCTTTCCAGCTCCTTCAGGGTGGTTATAGGAGATTGGCACATTGTATGTAACAATTCTCTGCTAGCCTGACCTTAATAGACTCCTGATGCTCAGTTTCCTTATGTCCCTGCCCTGGTATGGGTTGACAATGACTGCAGTCTCTGAGCATGTACACACCTCTGTGGCACGGTGTGCATCTACCAACATGTATCCAACCCCTAGGAGCTACCAGTGCCTTTTGCACATGTGTCTGAGCAAGTCC